AAGATTTTATTTATTTATTTGAGACAGAGAGAATGAGAGAGAGAGAGCACATGAGAGGGGGGAGGGTCAGAGGCAGAAGCAGGCTCCCCGCCGAGCAGGGAGCCCGACGCGGGACTCGATCCAGGGACTCCAGGATCATGACCTGAGCCGAAGGCAGTCTCCCAACCAACTGAGCCACCCAGGTGCCCTGTCAGTATCTGAATTCTTAAAGAAAGGAAATAATGTTGGCCTGGTGCTCTGCTGTGACATTCCAGTGGTTCAAGATCTATTTCCGGTATGGCCTGTGCTGGCTCTGATGACCCAGGCAAGCATTCCACTTTGAAAGGTCTGCTTCTGTCAATATGGAGAAAGAGAAGCAGCTTTTGTGGTAGCCTCACTTGTAGGGTGGTCACGGTTGAGTTCACTGATGGTGAGTGCACAGCTCACCATCATCATTGGTGCCAATTAGCTGCTCTGAGGTCCTCAGAGATCCTTTGGGAAACTTACCTCATTTCCTGTGAATGAGAGAAATGACCTCTAACCTTCCCCTCCTACTTCAGCCATACAGTCTGGACCAGGAGCTGGACTGCCTCCTACGGAGGAGTAGTTTGACGTGATTGTTTTCTTGGAAGAGTACAGCCATATGTATGGGGAGAGTGTCCCATATCGGAAGCTAGAAATGTAGTTGCTCTTAGTCCTGGAATTCTTTAGGCTCAAGACTGTTGTGTTCATTCTTTGCAGACTTTTTTAGTCTAGGCCATGTACCTAGTAGTTCCTGTAAGCATAAGGCAGTCCCACTTACTGAAGTCCAGAGTGGTAGAGCCAAGTTTTATTGATATTTCCTTTGTAAGCATGGATAATATGTGTGTGTGTGTGGGGGGGGGGAATTGATCCATCATTCTGGTTGCTTATGGATCAGTTCAGTTGAGGTACACCAGATATTCCCTTTAGCCTTTACAAAGCCGGAATTCCATGGTCTTTGTCCTGATAGGCAGAGACATTCCCAGGTGTGATTTAGGGAGAAAAGCAAACTGTTGGACTTTGAGGATCTAACCATAAAAGTTTGCTGATAGTAGGTAAGAAAAATGGCAAAGTAAAGTGTATTTTACTCTACATCTAACATATGTGGTAACATTGAATGAAACACATAAACCTGTGTTTTAGAGAGCCAGAAGCACTTTATGTAACAATTCAAACAAAACATCTCATGTACTTAGATCCTAATATCTAACTTTGCAAATCAATCTTTTGAGGGTGTGTTTCAAGTGTTTGCATATCTATATATGTAATTTGCATCATATATATAATGCAGGCTTGAAATACTGAAAAACAAGGTTTTTAACTGGTAACATGTGAATTCATTCCCCTCAGAGTAAACACCTGGTCTGATCCAAACCACAGTGTAATATATAAATCCAATTTTAGTACAGATTTTTTTATATGTGTGAAACTAAATCTGGAAACATATGTATTGATGTAAGATATAAATAATCCAACATGTTATCAGTTGTCTTAACAGGTTTTAAGATTTTTTTTTTTTTTAAAGTTCTTGATCATCACATTGGTTATTTTCTGGATCTTTGGATGCACTATTCCTTAGTTTACTAAGGAGAAAATATTATAATCCTACATCTAAGAAATGAAGTGTAACATGTAGAAACATACACAAAAACGCCATAAAGTCACAGGAACTAATTGAATGTTTAATGGTATGGGAAAGACTGTCCTAATGTTAAATGAGGAAGTCATGAGATAAAACTCTGAGTGACCTCTATTTGGGATTTATACATATGTAAGTGTATGTGTCATGCTGTGTATGGCATGCAGTAAAGACAATTGTCTGGTCCCTCCTTTTATGGCTTATGCCAATGGTTGTCTACAATTCAACACAAAAAGTGACAAAATGAAGAAGTACTCGCAGGTTGTCTGGGAGGTGATCCAGGTCAAAGACCACTGGAAGTTTTGAATTGTTGGCTTGAGATCTCCAGCCTTCAGGCAAACTTCTTTCCTTTTTATGTCTGACTGTACCCAATTTATCCCTTTTTTTAAAAAAAGATTTTTTTAAGAAAGATTTTATTATTTGAGAGAGAACAAGAGAGCACACAGGTGTGTGAGCAGGGGAGGGGGAGGGGCAGCAGGAGAGGGAGAAGCAGACTCCCCACTGAGCAGAGAGCTCTAGGTGGGGCTTGATACCAGGACCTTGAGACATATCCTGTGCCAAAGCTTAACTGACTGAGCCACCCAGGCAACACCCCCCCCCCTCCCATTTATCCCTTGAAGAAGAAAATTTGATGCCATGGAAAACATTGGACTTGTAAAACTGAGAGAAGTGAAGCAGACCAGCCTAGACAAGGTTGGGTGGAAATGTCATTTCTGACAGAAGAAGGTGCCTGATGATGGTAGGTGGTTTTCAGTCTCAGTTTCATTTCAGATAGAAAATAAAAGCAAAAGTGTGGCAGTGTGAGCAAGTTTCCTCAAACCAGACAACTAGCTAGCTGCCATGTTTCTTGGTTCTTTTGTCTTTTTGTGGCGTTTTTTCAGACTAGAAGGGCGGGGGAAGAGTTCTTTGAGGACAGGGCCTGTTGGCATATCTGGAGCACTACTGCCATCGTGAGGAAATAGTTTCAAAACATCCCAAGTTGTTACAGTGTCTTTCCCTTGAGGCCACCAGTTAAGGAATGTCTGACCTATGAGGAAGTAGAACAGGCTTGAGTTCCAAGCTGGACCTCTTGCCTACTCTCCTAAGGCCTAACAAGACACCCGGACATTGGCAGTATCTGGATGTAGAACCTAGAGACCTGGAGAATGCAGGCGCTGCAATGAGCTAGCGGCTTCCAGGAGGTCCAGGCATAGGAAGTCACGGGGCAGGACTTAGTTTTCAAGGGCAAGACTAGAAGAATCCACCCAAAGACAAATGTAGGCCCTTGTGGGCATTTGTCTCCTATTCTTGCCCCTTGCAGCAAGAGTTGGCAGGCTTTGACATGGTGTCCCTAAGCTATGGTGCTTAGGTCCCTTGTGGCTGAAGTGTCAGAGTAAGATGGACAAGCTTGTTCCAAGGGAAGTTTAGGAACATCTGATATGCTTATGGATCACAGACCACACAAAATACTAGAGCCCAGTGTAACTTTGGCTAGCAGAACAGATGCACACACCTAAATGGGATGGCTAGATGGAGAGGAAGACCAGGAAAAACTTTTAAGTCTAGGAGGAAGCAGCTACAATAGATGTGTAGCTGATTTCTCAGGCCTAGATAAAAAACTTGATGGGAGTCTTCATCTAATCTCAGGTATCACAAGACAAGCCTATGAGACATCTTTGTCTCCAACCAGCTATAAACCAGAGAAGAGAGAACATTGATTGGTATAATGGGATTAATGGTTGCGGACTTCAAGGTGTTGGGGAGGAAAATTTTTACTATGCCCTTCAAGATTCTTCCAGCTGGTATAAGAACTAAATTGACATGAGAAAGATTAATAGGGAAACATAAGTTTAATTATGTGCTCACAGAGGCCCAATAATGAAATTGAGAACTAAAGAAATGACCAGTCAGGCAGTTTTTATACTTTTTATACAAAGACAATAAATCTGTGAGGAATTGACAGGACAAAGAAAACATATGATCAGGAGTTTCAAGTATAAGGAATTCTAAAGAGAATTTGGACTGGAGTAGTTAAGTAACAAAGTTTGTTTATACAGCCTTCTTGGCTCTAAATTTTTATCTTTGGTGATAGGGATGTCTCTTAACCTGGTATCCTACAGGGAGGATACCTTTCACATAGTTGATTTTTTCTTGATTTCTGGAGACAAAGGGGAGTCAGAATGTTCTTTTGACACTGGCTGTTTCTTAAGTAACTTCTCATTCAAAATCATTAGTATGCTAAAGTGGAACATTGTTGGCAGGGATCCAGAGGGGAGCTGCTGGAGCCCCTATGATGGACTTTGATTTCCTCTGGAAAAGCCAATAAATACTTTTGTGCCCTCCCGTCTTGTGATAACTTGAAAAATCACAATTCCACCTGGGGTAGGTCTTTTTTTTTTTCTTCAACTAGCCTAAATTAGACTCAATGGCTTAGGCTCTACTCCTAATCAGGCCGTGGGGCTCCAGAATTTTGTGTGATCTGAGATCCATAGCAATCGTACCAAATGCTGCTAAACTTCCCTTGAAACAAGCTTGTTCATCTTACTCTGACACTTCAGCCACAAGGGACCTAAGCACCATAGCTTAGGGACACCATGTTTAAGCCTGCTAACTGGATGTATCTGAACGTAGAACCTAGAGAATAGGAGACAAATGCCCACAAGAGCCAACATTTTTCTTTGAGTGGATTCTTCTAGTCTTGCCCTTGAATACTAAGTCCTGCCCCGTGACTCTATGCCTGAACCTCCTGGAAGCCGCTAGCTCACTGCAACCCCCTCATTCTCCAGGTCTCTAGGTTCTACGTCCAGATAACTGCCAATGTCCAGGTGTCTTGTTAGGCCTTAGGAGAATAGGCAAGAAGTCCAGCTTGGAACTCAAGCCTGTTCTACTTCCTCATAAGTAGGACCTTTGTTAACTGGTTGGCCTCATGGGAAGAACGCTGTAACAACTTGGGATGTTTTGAAACTATTTCCTCATGATGGCAGTAGTGCTCCAGATACACAAACAATTCCTGCTGCCAGTCCTTCTCTTGCCCTTCCAGTCTGAAAACACACCACCAATAGACAAAGGCACCAGGAAACATGGCTTTTTAGCATTTTGTCCAATTTGAGGAAACTCGCTCACAGTGCTGCATTTTTGCTTTCAGTTTTGCTGAAAAACAAAATTCAACTGAGTAAATGTGAAAATCTAGTTGGGCTTATTAAGTGACTCATGAATCAGGTATCATGCCATCTAGCAAGTAGAGAGATAGTCTGAGGAGTTGTACAAAATGGAAGGTTTTTTATAGGCAGGTGGGTGTGGCAAGGAAGTTATTAGCAAAAGAAAAGAAAGAATTTTTTTGAGTCTAGGACATCTTCTTTGTGGGGAGGAGGAAGAGAGACTAGCAGAGTTTTTATCATGCAGATGATCTCACCAGTGCTGATCTGGAATTTGAGTTTGAATGTTGAAAGGTCACATTCCTGAGGTAAGTTGAAACTACAATTGAATCTTGGTTTGCTGTCTTGGGGGTGGGGTGCAAATGACTTCATTTTGGGCTTCTTTTTTAACTTTTTTCCATTTGAAATCAAACTGAGACCTTAAGTCACTCACCCTCATCAGACATCTTTGTCTTTCAGAAATTAAATTTCTACTTTATCTAGCCTATGCATTTCCACTTTTCTTCATTTAGCATTTTATATCCAGTATTTTCCCTTAGCATCATGTTTTCTGCCTCAATGGCTAAGTCTGAAACATCCACTTTTAAGAAAGAGAAGAAAATGTTAGAAGTTACCTTAGAAGAGGGTATCTCTAGACATCCCCCTTACTTCTGAGGCTTTCAGAGATTCTGATTTCATTTTGTTACCAAGCTCTGATACTTTCTTTTTATGGGAAGCAAACTTTTACTAAGTGCAACAATAGGGCCTAGTTAGTGGTCTTCACTATATTCAAAACAATATTTCACATGGAGTGACACATTTCTGTACATTCTTTTCATAATAGATATGTTTTTAAATGTAGTGTATACTTGCTGTGGGTCTCCTTTAAGATTGCAACAGAAGTACTTTCCAATTTCATTAAATACCTTTTTCTTCCTTCTGTACTTTAGGATCTTTTCTTTATTATTTATTGATCTGTGTTGCCATTTTTTGAGTAGAAAATACCCTTTATTTGTAAATGGATTGAGAAAATAAAGGAATGCTCCGCAAAAAAGAAAATCACTGATATAAATGGACCAGTTTAAAATAAGCACTGATTAGATTCATGGATATTCACTTCTGATTCTTTTGCATTACATATACACCAATCTTTAGGTTCTTGTAGAAGACAGAATTGAATTACTTGGTCAATAAACATAAATTACTTATTAAACATAACATCTTATATTCCCACAATTAGAGAATGAGAATTTTTAATAATTTCTTAGAATATTTATATAACATTTGTTTGGCACAAAAATCATTTACTATATCAAAATAGGTATTTTGTAGTCTATAGTGTCCATTGACCAATAACTTTAGAAATAATCAGTGAAAAGTTACCAAATCTTACCTAATATGAAATTAAGTAACATGGTTTAGATTTCCTTTGACTCAAATAGGAAATAAAAAGGGAACTTACATAACATCTTGGAAGGAATTAAAGAAAAAAGATATCAAGTCAAATTTTACTGTTTAGATGCTTTACTCAAAGGAAAGTTTTCCAGGCACCTGGCTGCTGGCTCAGTCGGTAAAGCCTGCAACTCTTGATCTCGGGGTTGTGAGTTCGAGCACTATGTTGGGTGTGGAGCCTACTTAAAAAAAATTTAAAAAATAAACATAAAGGAAAGTTTTCATCTACATACCATTATAGGTCTTTTTTAATTAAAGAAATAAGACAGGGATGCCTGGGTGGCCCAGTTGGTTAAGTGTCTGCCTTCCACTCGGGTCATGATCCCCGGGTCCTGGGATTGAGTCCTGCATGGGACTCCTTGCTCAACAGGGAGCCTGCTTCTCCCTCTGCCTGCCGCTCCCTCTGCTTGTACTCTCCTGCTCTCTGGCAAATAAATAAGTAAAATCTTTTAAAAAAATAAAGAAAGAAGACAGAAAATAGTGAACTTATTTTACTAAATGTTAATAAACAAAGAGCCCCCTCCCCCAAATGGAAGGGTTGGGTCAGTCATTATAAAAATCAAGTCAAAAAGACAGAAAGCCAAAAATGCAATAGAAATAATAAATGAATTCCAATTTGATTCTTTGAAGACAGCAGTAAAATATAACAACTTATTGTAAGTATCATTAAGAAATAAAATGATTAATATTCATAAAATATGATGCAAAGTTAGGCTTCCTTAAATAGGCAATTTTAACTTTGAAAAAGGCACTTCTAGCCCTGACCAAGTGAGGATATTAGAAAATTCTCTCTCCAAGGAACAACTACAAAGCTGTATAAAATTGATTGACAAAAACAACCATTTCTGTGCTCTGGAAATCAACTAAAAGCATTCAAGAATGTTAGTCTTTGGGTAAGAAATGTTGGAATCTGTGTTACTCTGGCCTGGACTCTTCTCATCCACCTCACTCTTCTCATCCACCTCACTCTTCTCATCCACCTCCTGCTTAGCTCCATCAATAAGAGGGTTCTACCAAAGTGAAATAAAGACCTTCCTAGATAAATACTGGGAGAATTCTGTGCTAGCAGACCTGTATTATAATAAATACCAAAGGAAGTCTTTCAGGCTGAAAGGAAATGACTGTAGATGGTGACTTGAATCCAGGAGAAATCAAGAACACAGGAAATAGTAAATAGCTGGATTGATGTAACAGACTCTATATTTTTTTCTCTTCAATAATTTAAAAGACACAAGACCATATAAAGCAATTATTATTCTACTGTATTGTTGGCTATATATCATATATTGATGTAATATAAGTACAAAAGTTCAGGGGGATAGAACTGTATAGAAGGAAAGTTTCTCCATTTTACTGGAAGTTAGTATTAATCTGATGGCTATTTTTATAGGTTCAAATACATACTGTATTAGAACAACCACTAAGAGACTAACTGAAATATATAGTTCAAAATTAAAAGAGAAATTAAGGGGCTCCCAGCTGGCTCAGTTGGTAGACCGTGTGACTCTTAATCTCAGGGTTGTGAGTTCAAGATGCAAACTGGATGTAGAAGTTACTTTAAAAAAAATCCTAAAAAAAGATTTAAAAGAGAAATTAAAATGGTACATGTAAAAATAGTGAACATAAATGAAGGCAATGAAGGTAGAATAGAGCAACAAAAAGGGCAGTAAGACAGAAAACAAATAGCAAAGTGGCAAACTGAAATCCAACTATATCCATAAGTACGTTAAATTTTAATGACTAAACATACAAATTAAAAGGCAGATATTATTAGACTGGATAAAAAGTAAGATCCAAGTATGTGCTGTTTACAGGAGGCATTAAATTCAAAGATACGAATAGGTTGGAGTGAAAGGATATAAAAATATATATGATGTCGCTGATAACTGTAATAGGGTTGGTGTGTTTATAGTAATCTTTGAAGAAATGGATTTAAGACAAGACTTTGAGGGGCACCTGGGTGGCTCAGTCAGTTAAACATCTTCCTTTGGCTCAGGTCATGATCCCAGGGTCCTGAGATTGAACCCTGTGTCAGGCTTCCTGCTCAGTGGGGAGTCTGTTTCTCCCTCTCCTTCTGCCCCTTTCCCCCACTTGTGTGCTCTCTCTCTCAAATAAATAAAATCTTTTTTTTAAAAAAGACAGGACTTCAAGACAAGGAATATTATGAAACACAAAGAGGGAAGTTACATAATGAGAATAAAGTCAATACAAAAGGAAGATATAACAATTATAAATGTATACATATCTAACAAAATATGCAAAGCAAAAAGTGGCAGAAGTAAAATGAGGAATAGATAGATCAACAATAATAGTGAGGTATTTTGGGGTGCCTGGGTGGCTCAGTCATTAAGCGTCTGCCTTTGGCTCAGGTCCTGGGATCGAGCCCCACATTGGGAAGCCTGCTTCTCCCTCTCCTACTTCCCCTGCTTCTGTTCCCTCTCTCGCTGTCTCTCTCTCTGTCAGATAAGTAAATAAAACTGTTTAAAAAAAAATAGTGAGGTATTTTGATACCTCATTCTCAATAATTGGAAGAACTAGACAGAAAATCAAGAAGATAGCATATACAAACAACATCAACTAACTTGACCTAACTTACCACACAAAGCCTGCAGCATATACATTCTTTTCAATTACACATGGAACATTCTTTTTTTTTATTTTTTTTTATTTATTTGAGAGAGAGAATGAGATAGAGAGAGCACATGAGAGGAGGGAGGGTCAGAGGGAGAAGCAGACTCCCTGCTGAGCAGGGAGCCCGATGCGGGACTCGATCCCGGGACTCCAGG